CGACAGCCCGAACCCAGTACAAAACTGGTTCTTGAAGAACACAATTGATGCGGCAACGAACATCTTCGCCACTGTGGCCCCGTTCTCATCGGACCACCCCAGCAGCGGCATGCTCAACGGTATCTTGGGCGATGCTCGAAACAATGTACTTTCCATGTTGGACATGACTCTTAACACGGCTTCAGTGTCAGAAGGTTGGATGAAGCAGATCCCGGCCGTTCCTGAGTCGGACGAGGAGATCTCCAAGGTTGCTTATCTTCAAGCGCAAGCACTCCTGACATGCAAGCAAGCAATGGAAAAGGCTAGGCTTGCCAACAATGCTTTCGTCGACTTTAATCATCTGGCTCAGCAGGAGCAGGAACGTCTTCAGCGTGAGATCAATTTCCTTAGGGACAGGATCCAAAGCACCCATGCCCAGGGTGAAGCTGAGATCAGGGAGATACTGAGCCCCCGCGTCACAGACTTCTTTGACTTCGGAATTGGTCGTGTGTCGGCCATGCAGAAAGCCAACGAGATGCAGAGCCGACTCAGCCACGAGATTGATGAAATTCAACGCAAAATCTCGCAGTGTTCGCAGGACCTCCAAAGCGGCCACTCCTTCATGGGACACACCCAGACTTGGGTTGAGCTCTGTGAGCGTACAAGCGGCAACCTTGGCTCGATTTACGGAACTCTGATGTCTGTGAAGTACGGTATCAAGATTGATGCCGCGGCATACAAGGAGCTGGCGGATACGCAGTGGGGTCAGATCCGCAAGGAAGCGGATGAGGTCAAGGCAATGCTTCAGGGAGGCCAGAACACGGCGGTGGCTATGGACATCGATGGCCTTGGTGTTGCTGCAGACGTTGCTGCGGATTCAGCTTTGGTGCAGATTGCGTCCCCCACTCCCGTTCTGCTTTCACAGCTTGAGGCCCAGACTAACAACTCGACAATCGTCTGGGAGAACATCGGCAAGCTGCAAAGGCTTACTTACACTGAAGATATCGTTGGCTACTTCGACGCTGCTTCTAACCGAAAGGTTACACTCAACGAAGTCATTCAGAGCATCAGGAATGCCTACACCCAGACGGCCGCGCTCCATTACGGGACCGTTGAGCAGATCAACACGCTGGCTCTTCTGCAGAGCACCCCGCGCAAATAACCTAGCCAGTGGCAAGATCTCTCCGCATGTCTTCCTCAAGGGTACCTTCAGCTCAGTCTCCATGGCACGCAAGCAATCTGCTCGTGTCAAGTCGCAGCTTTCCAACTCATCTGCTGAACTCAGCGGTAAACTCAAGCTTGTGAAGGCGTCCATCGGAGAACTGAAGAAGGCCATCTCAAGCGCCAACATCGATCTCGCTCGCCGCGACAAGGCCTATCGCGACAAGGTCACCGGCATCATTGTTGAAGGATGCTTGACCGGCTTCGCTACTGGCGGATTGGTCGCTGCTGCTGCGTTTGCTGCTTATTCAGGGGTTGCTATCGCTTCCATTCCTGCCCTTCTCGCAGCCGGCGGGGTTGTCTTTGGCAAGGATGGCGACAAGAAGGGAGACAAGGAAGAAGACAAGCCGGAAGGTAATGCTTCCAATGGAACCAAGGCTGCCAACGGCACCAACGGCACCAACGGCCATGCGAAGCCCAAGGTCGACTCGGAGGAGGAGGAGGTTCCTGAGGAGGCTGGAGACAAGAGTGAGGATACTGCTGCGCCCGCCAAGAAGACTGAAAAGGAAATCCCCATTCAGAAACGCGTGGAAGCCGCCCAAGACACCTGGACGGCACTTAGCGGAGTTCTCCGCACGGTGAAGGATGCCGCCAGCGGAACGGAGCTCGGCAAGGCGCTATTCAACAAGATGAGTCTCCAGGAACTCGGCATGCTTGTGCAGTTGGTCAAGACAGCTATCGTCGTCATGGAGCGCTCTGTGGCGGCGGTGGAACACCTCTCGCAGCCACTGGAGGACCTGCTCTCCAGCGTGGCTCAAATGGCTGACATTCTGTCCGACATGGATACTCGTTGCAGCCAATACCAGGTGAAGAATGCTGGTGCATCACTCCAATTTGGCAAGGAAGAGGCCGAGACGATTAAGGCCCGCTGGGCTGAGGTTGGTGACGCCGCTGAGGCTTGGTTGGATGTCTTCAACGCGCAGCGCATCTCTCCTATTACCTACACTGTTGTTTGAGTACATGAGGCTTCACAAGGAGGAGGCAAGGAGGAACTTTATTTTGAGATCATACTGTACGATTCAATGATCTAACCAAGCATAGTGTTGGACCAGTATGCGATTTTCCTTAAGGGTACTCCGATGGGTTACATAGCACCATGAAATAGGCCTATCATTTCTCAATCAACAAGATAACCTCTCGAATACTCGATGCCGACTGTTTCAACAGCGTAGTCTCCTTTTCATCAAGGAGCAGAGGCACTTCCTGAAACGCTCCGCCCCTGTTGATCTTACACGGCATGCTGAGGGCTACGTCCTCAACCTCAGCGTAATTTCCGACCTGAGAGACGGTCATTATAGCATCGGAGTCCTTGACAATTGGCTCCACAAGGCTGACAATGACACTTGCGATGCCGTAGTTCGTTTTTCCCTTCTTTTCGATGATAGCGTAGGCTGCACCCCTCGTACGGGCCGCGCATGCCGCCATAGCCTCCTCGTCGTGGGGCCTCCCAGCTTGCCGGCAATACTCAGACAGCCGCATTCCGGAAATGTTTGCCAAGGACCAGACAGGGAGCTGAGAGTCGCCATGTTCACCAATGATGAATGCATGAACGCTACGTGGGCTGATGCCGAAGTGGTGGCCCAGCTCGCGGCGAAAACGGGTTGTGTCGAGTGAAGTACCGGTCCCGATGACACGGTGAGCAGGAAAGCCGGAGAGCTTGGTAGCAGCGTGCGTAAGAACGTCGGCGGGGTTGGTGGCGATGATGAGTATTGTATCCGGAGCAGCTGTGGCGATGCGGGGGACGATGTTAGCGAAGAGGGCGTAGTTTGTTTGTACGAGCTCGAGACAGCGTTTGGCCGGGCTTCTGGTTGACACCTGCGGTAATGACCACGAGGGTCGCGCCCGCGCAATCAGAATAATCGCCAGCGCGGACCTTTGAGTGTGTGAAATGGGCGGCATGACCAATGTCTGTAGCCTCCCCATCAGCACGGTGCCTGTCAATGTCGATGAGGACAATGTCAGCCGGTTAGACCGCTGAGCAGGATAGCATAGGCTGTCGTTGCCCCGACAGAACCCGGCGCTTTCGGAAACGGTTCTGGATGGACTGCATGATATTGAGTCAGCTGCTGGTATTTTTTCAGAAGTCTAAGACCAATTCACCCTCGAGGTTACGGTCGTGGGTTCGTTCTCTGGAGACATCGCAGCTTGTACGTCGTAGCCGTAGCGAGTAAGACTCCTCAGCGTGGTCGATTTGGTATGCGTAGTGCGAGCTAGTAGTTTTATGTGTTAGCTCGTAGTACTAGGGCATCAGATCGTCGAAAGCAACGCGTCGTATATATATGACTCGATATGTCGAGATTGTCGCCGACTTGGTCAAGCTGTACGGTGGCCTGTTTCTGACTAACCCGGTTTGCCAAGGTTTGTGGCTCACAATCTCCAATTGGGCGCTTCGGCGGTTTTCTGATTTTCCTTGCTGCCCGCTCATCTCAGATGTTTCTACTGTCGGGACCATCTCGACGACAAAAAAAATTCATGAACACGGGGTTTTCTACAGAGGAGATAGCAAACGCTGCGGAATCGAGCACGGAGATGTGCTAGAGGAGCTCAAATAATTTTTCATATGTATCTGTTAGCTCATCGACGTTGAAAACCTCATTCCAAGTCTCGCAGCCTAGGGAGCGGTTACCTGATTTCTTGAAGGCCATGTTCCATAGAACAGGCGTCTCGATACATTCCCTGCACGCTTCCATTATCTTAGTATCGTTTTGGATGGTTCCGTGTCAATCGGGCAGGTCGACATGCGATAGTATCATTTGTTTCGACACCCACCCATTGAACATTATGTAAATGTGTCGCTGGTCTGGTATACCCGAAATGCAGCTATTTAATAACTTAATGCCGCTGAAATGTCCTCAACACGTAGAGTAGCTATCGATATCCGAAGCGAAGGACCTAGCTGTTAAGTGGCCTCATACCCTTGCACTCTTCACAGATCCAGGACAAAGGCTGTGCTGCAAACGCATCTGAGGCACCGTGAGCTTAAGCCAGAGTTGGACGTGCTGGAATGAGGCCAAACCTCGTAATCTAACAATGGAAGAGATACAAGGTTGACGCTTTGATCACATGTGGCAAGCAGAAGCAATTGAGCCAACGTTCGGTGGAGTGTAGGCCCTGTGATAACAGCCTTTGGCCTCAGGTGATTGTCGTATTGACAGGACTACACATGGTATTGCGGCAAGGCTCACTGAAAGTCGCATACAGCCCTGTCTTCATTTTCTGGGTGTCTACCAACACGGCTCGCGTGACAGTGTGCCAAGATTCAAATGAGGCCCCAGCCCTCTTGGCCTCGATAAGCCCCGACATCTCGACACAGCCTCCATGACCCATGGCCAGTCAAGTGTTCACTGTGCCACTGCAATGCATTTAGGCACACTTCTAGCCTCGTATCAACTATGTGTCAAAAACCACGAGTACAAACATATGAATGGGCGAGTGTCCGTTCATCTATTCTTCTCACGAACCAACAGCACATCAAC